TCCCATTTTCACCCCCTTAAGGGATGATTTCCGGAATAAATAATTATATATTATTCCCAGGATCTCATACTACGTTCTTATCAAATTTAATCTAAATCGGTTTAGTGGATCTAGAGATTACCCCCTACAGCGACACGAACTCACAAACTTGACCTCTTTATAATAAGTATAGATTTACACATTTTGCAGTGAAAAAAATTTAATGGGTGTAATCTTTACGCATGGTTAAAGTAAAACTTCTTTGGCGCTGTGACAGATACCGCAATTAATATTTTTTATGAATTTTTTAGTAATCTTCTCTAATATATAAAATTTCCATGTCACAATGTTAGTTAGCGTACTCCTCCGAAACGGCTTTACCGATTTTTACCAAATTTTATATGCGTATTCAGTAGGTCTGAGAATCGGCTACTATCTATTTTCCATACCCCTAAGTGATAAGGATAAGGGTGGTCCTCCCAGACCCCATCCCAGGGACGAACCCGAGCGGAACGAGGGTGAGTCGCTAGTTTAGTAAAAAAAAAATATATAATTTTTATAAAATTTAATAATTACTTATTATAAAAATATAAATATATATTTTTTTAATTATTATTAATAGTTAAAATTAAATTGACTCTCACCTTCGCAAAGCTCATTTTTTCCAACGTATTGACTTACCCCTCAGTTACGTCTAAAAAAATTTCACTTCAAAACTGTACAAATTCAGAAAATAATGTTTAAAAAATGACAATCAGTTAAAAGGATCTCTATTGAATTATTCGTGATTTGTATAAGTTAGATTTTTGTAACACAATTGATTTCTTTATATAAGTATAATAATAAAAAAACAAATTATCATGTGTATTGAAACAAATATTTACAAGTAATTTTATTTTACACTAGCGGCTCACCCTTGCTTCGCTCGGGTTAGTCGCTAGGTACGTTTTAAATAGATATAAATAGTTTTTACCCGGCGTTAGCCATATAAATTTTTATTTTTTGTTCCGTTAATTTTTATGATGTTTTAATACTTATTATTCTATTCTTAAATAAGTATTCTTAAATTTTATAATTTTCCACGCAATTTTTTAATTTTTTTCTTTCATAAGAACCTTCTCCTGACAATAACAAACACAACAAAAAAATCGGTCAAGCCGTTCACGCGTGATGGCGTGACCAAGGGAAATAGGGATTCATTTTTATATAGGTATATAGATTTTTAATGTAGTAATTATTCGATGCTTACTTTTCTGATACGAAATATTTCTGTGTAGACTGGACATATCTTGTAACGGTTTTCATGATCAAAACCGTTTTTATAACGATTTTATATTAATCATTAATTTTATATGTTTTTTGTAATAAATAAAAGCTAAGTATAAAATTAAGCATAACTAATAAACCTAATGAAGCGGTATTAAAATCATTTAGTTTTTTTTGCTTCAAATTGAGCTTTCACTGGCTATCGGATATTAATGTCTACAATCTACATGTTCTACATACTCGTAAGATCAGACGAATTACGATTTACGAATCTCACTAATACGTGAAAGTAAATATTGCATTAAAGTATTGTTTGTTTGGATTTAGACATTTAAAACATTTTTAAAGTGGCCAGCGTTATTCTTTCAAGGTTTTCTTAAATATTGCCTTTAATAAATTATAATATATATGTATAATGAAACCATTTTATAGAAAATAATTTTTCTAATAACTCTAAAAAATATATATTTCTTTACATTTTTTTTATTTAACCAGGTTACAAACGAACATAAACTATTACTGATAATATATGTAATATACAACTGTTGTTAACTATTTCTTTTCGTGAATATTAATTTTATGTAAATTTTTGCATAGCTTTAATTTACATAAATCTTGCTATTTGCTTACTTATAATTTAGGCGAGAAAATAAGTTTTTAAAATACCGTAACATGTTTGTACTCATATATACAAAGAATACAAAGCTATAGCGTATTGCTAAATAAGATATACGTGTTTTGAATTATCGTTAAGTGGAATGCAGTAAAGTAAATAAGCACGTTATTTACTATACTATTTTATTATATATTTATGCTCTTTAATGCTGGTATTTATTTACGTAAAAAGTTCAAATTCATTGCATTTTGCCCTAGATATATATAATTACATAAAAATAAAAATTTACTATTACTTTTACAGTAATAATTAAGTGTACATTTGTTTTATATATATATATATATATATATATTTATTTATTTATTTATTTATATTTGTAATTTCCTTTAATGTAAATATATAATTAACCAGATATAACGTTAAATTAAACTAATGCTGGTGAAATGTGGGTCATGTACATCCAATGTAATGGACAAATAGTCATGAATTATAACAATAAAATTCGTTCCATTGTATTTTGGCCGTGTTCAATCTCCCATATCGAGTGTTTGTCGTGACATGAAAGCCTTGTGGAGTGTATACATTTGTTGATATATATAAATTTATGCATACACTAGCGCTTGCCTGGAGCTTCAAATAATTTTATATTTTCATTCATTGCTCTAACTTAGATTTATAAGAATAAACATAAGCAATACAAAACCATCGTGGTAAAGTATGGTACGCGTTTTGGCTTTTCGTTTTTCTCTACATATTATACGTGATGATGATGATGTTTTCCTAGCCGATTCCGGCTACGGCGGCCAATCTCATTGAGACTAGCCAACTGCGCAGGAGATATGATATGTATATATATATAGATATGTGCAGCGCGTATACACGCAGACACAAGTGCACTCTCTATTCCTGTCACTCTCATAATCCGGTGGGATGACTACTCGACACGACCGGTGAGAGTTAAGGCGCAGGACCGACGGCTTTACGTGCTCTCCGAGGCACGGGGGTGAAACACCACCAACTTCCCAACTCCGGGCTGTTACTGAGACTTACTATACAGAAAGACTCAATAACTAAACTTGGCCCGACCCGGGACTCGAACCCAGGACCTCCGAGTGTGCAGTGTGCAGTAGTTAATATATAGATATTATACGTATATGCAGATATTTGTGTCAAGCAGTCGATATTAAACGATGTGTCCCTAGAATTCTTATTTCTAGTCTTCTTATTGTGAGCAGATACACATGTAATTCAAAGTATTTTTTGTTAATTGTATTATGCATAAAGCGTTTAAATTTTACAATGTTCTCTACATATTAAGTAATTTATATAACTTGATATTTTTCTAAGTTATTGAACTATATTATGGTCAAGGCAAAATAATTATTATGAAATGAAGTAATTAAAGTAATAGATATAATCTAAAAGCTCATTTATTATACATCATAAAGCTTTCTGTAATTAAAAAATGAAGAAATTAGTTTTATTCATTCAAATTAACTCAATGTTTATAAGGCCTCGTAGTAACCTTACATTCACATCGTGTGAAGAATTGTTATCACATTCTGTACTAAATGGTCCGTGGGTAGAGTTAGATAAAGGAAACTCAAATGGTTTATTATCTATACATTTTAACGGGGTCAGTTTTTATTTACAATTTTAAATCATTTTTCGTAAGAATGAACGCAAATCAATATGTTATAGAATTACTAGCAGAACCCGCGGCTTCGCTCGCGCTAAAACTACGAAAAACTCTTTGGCTTTATGCTATTCGTAATATTGTATGGAAGTCTACATGATTTGTTGAGATTTATGATTACTGCTCCACTCCCTTGGGTAGTAGCATGATTATATATAACTACCTCAGTGGTGTAGTGGCTAGCATGTACGGCTGCACACCCGGAGGTCCTGGGTTCGAGTCCCGGGTCGGGCCAAGTTTAGTTATTGAGTCTTTCTGTATAGTGAGTCTCAGTAATATGTTTGACGACACGTTTGGCTCAGTTGGTTGTGACCCTACTTGTTGTGCCAGCGGTCGCGGGTTCGAGTCCCGCTGGGGGCATTCATTTGTGTGATGAGCACGAATGTTTGTACTCCAGTCATGGGTGTTAATATTTATAATATGTATGTACGAGTATTTAAAGTTATATATGTGTAGTATATCAACTATCTGGTATCCATAACACAAGCCTCATAGCTTACCATGGTACTAGATGGTGCTGTGTGTTAATGTCCAAAAAAAAAAAAAAAGTAACATCCCGGAGTTGGGAAGTTGGCGTTGTTTCACCCCCGTGCCTCAGAGAGTACGTAAAGCCGTCGGTCCTGCGCCTTAACTCTCACCAGCCGTGTCGAGTGGTCGTCCCACCGGAGTACGAAAGTGATAGGAATAGAGAGTGCACTTATGTCTGCGCGTACACTTGAGCATTATAATATCTCCTGCGCAGTTGGCTAATCTCAATGAGATTGGCTGCCGTAACCGGAATCGGCTAGGAGAACATCATCATCATATATAGCCTATCCTTTCTCAATAATGCAAAAATATTTTTTTAAATCGCATTAAAGGTTCCTGATATTAGCGCGTTCAAACAAACAAATAAACAAACTCTGCCTCTTTATAATATTAAGTATAGATTGCAGATCAATTTTCATCGATCGAGTAAAATCAATTTCAACTTCAGCTCTCTAGTTTATGTATTGCTTTATAACGTGGTTATATGTACACAAGCGAAGTCGCTGGAGGAAACTAGTTAATTATATAAAATAAGCCATTAATTCTATTCTTTAATTTTTGACTTTATAACAATTCTGAAAATAATAATACGTTGAGTAAATAAAAATGTAACCGCCGTCTAGCTATAATTAAAAAATTCTATAAACTCAGTTACGGTAAAAGAACCAACCTATTTTGAAGGTTGATATTTAGTAATTCATCACATACTAAGGCTTGATTTTTCAAACAGTTTGATCGTAAACACTTATAAATTTTTATACCAGAGGTTTGATAATTATTGGAAGTACAAAGTGTTTGGATGTCAAAACATCAAGAAGAAAATTTCTTATTTCCTGTTTTCCATTCGTATAAACCTATTATTTTATAAAATCTGTTAATAAAAAACGATATTTTAATTTAACTATTTTTTTATAGGAAACGAGATGTCGAAATCCACCAACTGCCCCTCAGAAGATAGAACGAGTTATCAGCCTTTGTCAAGACGAAATCAAGCTTTCAATACTAAGAGGTATGTACTAGCTCTATTGTTACATAGTTATGTATATACAATTACATTATAGACAATTATCATGGTACTGAGGCGTACTTAGGTACATATCTCTTTACCAATGCCTGCTACACTGAAGATCACAGGTTTAAATTTAGATTAGAAGTAAAAAAAAAACTTTGTAAACATTCAATATTCCCGAGAAGAAATATCACTATGTATTTTACTTCTTAAAGTCGTGCGAGTTTGAAATTGAAAAATATAAAATATAATATAAAAACTAGGAATATTTTCGATAATATTTTTTTTACCTACATATTTATATAATACATCTGACGACACGTTTGGTTCAGTTTGTAGTGACCCTACAGTCTTGCTGTGCCAGCGGTCACGGGTTCGAGTCCCGCTGGGGGCATTCATTTGTGTGATGAGTATGAATGTTTGTACTCTAGTTATGGGTGTTTATACTCGTATTTATAATATGTATGTATTTATGTAATTTTATATATATGTAGTGTACCAACTATCTTGTATCAATAACATAGTCTCGTAGCTTACCATGGAACTAGATGGTACAAAAATGTAATGTCCCAAAAAAACATTTTTATTACAAAAGCTTATACTTTTTACTAAATTATTTAAAATCGGTTTCGACTAATCAATAATCATATATATTTATTACGATAAAATTACAGCTACTTGTTATCATATAACTGCGTACGCGCACTTCGGGATCAAGTTGTCAAGGTTGCGAGTGAAAGTAACGCACTGGTAATTACACGTGTTACTGCTCTATCCTCGATCGTTATTTTTTATTTACTCTATTCGATAGAGATTATGCAATTTTAGCAAAAGTTATTGTAGAATTATTATATAAATATTTATTCTTATATTTTCTTAAAATAAAACAATTATAAAAGTATAATTAAAAAATATATAATTATAATATTAAATAAATCTCTTAAAATTAAATGAAAATTACAAAATAAATAAAGTCCTTTAGCAAGTTAATCTGATCAATCAATATAAAAAAAGACAATGAAAAAACTTAAATAAGTACGTTATATATTTTAACCAATTTAACCGAATCCAGTTTTTATATAAAAATAGAAAGTGTTAATGATATTAAAAGGTTTAAAAGATCAATTTGCAGCTTATTCAGGTCAATATTTGTATTACGTTTTAAAACCTGCACCTATATGCCTTTTTAACCTACTGATGACTGACAAATGTCACAGAATGAGTGCAATTTTAATTTTGATTTTAATACTACAACTAAACTATAATTTATTATTATTATTTTATAATACAATTAATGTTGAAAATTATTTATTTTTTACCGCTTTCAAAAAGAAGAGGTACACAATTCATCTTTTGTTTTGTATGTCTATGTTACGTGATATCTCCGTGAATTGTTGTTAATCGATCTTTACAATTGTTTTTGTAATGAAGAGATTATACATCAAGGGTGGTAACTTTTAAGCAAAATCCAGCCTAGAAGGTTGAAACTAATATTTTAGGGTGGTTTTAAAGTTAATGAACTGCTTTTATCTCTTATTTATTATTATTTTTTCTATATATCTAAATATTACGCCATATTAATATACTGGCATTGCCCGCGGCTCCGCCCGCGTTGAGATGACCAAAAATCAAATTCTTAGGTTTTACATATAAGCATACTCTTACATTGCAGTTTTTGTATTTTTTCTCAGGAATGAGACATTTTCCCGCGGTAAAAAGTATCCTATATGTTGACCTGGATAACCAGCTATCACCATACCAAATTTCATCAAAATCCCTCCAGTGGTTTGTCTGTGATGCGGTAACAAACAGACAGACAGACAAAAATTTTAAAAACTATAGATTCGGCCTCTGTATCGATAATAATGTCCGTTTCAATAACATTTTCCAAAAAAATATTTAATGCACAGACAGATTCGGCTTAGTTACAATTTTATTATATGTGTAGATTATTAGCTATATTATAATCAGTAGAGATCTCGTCGGTATCACTACTTAAGTCCGACAGTGAAAGTATTGTTTTTATAGCCACAGCGTAGATAATGTGTAACTAATCTGAACTATACTCTTACATCAAGCTGTTGTATAAAATTGGTCGCGTGTTTCTTCTACATATATAAAGAAAGCGGTAGAATGGGCTTTCTCTTAAAAAGTTAAAACTCAACCGTTACATTTACCCAAGTGTACTTACATATATGATATTACATCTATACATATAATAAAATTGTAACTAAGCCGAATCTGTAAATTAAGTACTTTTTGGAAAATCTTATCGAAATAAACATTATTATCGATACAGAGGCCTAATCTATAGTTTTTAGAATTTTTGTCTGTCTGTCTGTTACCGCATCACAGAAAAACCGCTTGAGGGATTTTGATGATATTTGGTATGGTGATAGCTGGTTATCCGGTTCAACATATAGAATACTTTTTACTATGGAAAAATATCCCATTTCTAAGAAAAAATACACAAACTGCATTGTAAGAGTATACTAATATGTAAAACCTAAGAATTTGGTTTATGGTCATCTGAACGCGGGCGGAGTCGCGGGTAATGTAAGTTATATGTTGACTTGACATTTTCAAAACTTAACTTGTAAAACTCTCGGTATTATTTGTATTTTTGTTATTATAATTGAACATTAAGCAATTGGTATTTAAAAATCGAAAAAAATTAGCTCTTTAAATTATTGAAGAAAACTATTAAAGTTTAAATTATATGTTTTTATAATTAGCTCCTATATATATTTTTTTGCATTTATATACATACATACATATAGTTTTTGTTAATATAAGTAAAAATTAAAATATATAATATTAACTTATTTAACTTTATTCATTATTTTTATTAGTTATTTTATATATATATATATATATATATATATATATATATATATATATATATATATATATATATATATATTAATTTATCATTTATATGAAATAGCATACAAACTTTCAACTAAATAATTATTACAAAATTGAAGTCCTTGGATTTAATTACTAAGTTATATCTAATTATGTATATGGCGATTAGACTATATACTAAAAAATTTTTTACTCATATTATTTTCAATAAAAATAATATATTAATATATTATTTTTATGGAATTTAATAATTAAATATAATTACGCACATAATATTTATTTAGATAAAAGATGGCGTGTGTATGTATTGTATGTGTAGTACAAAAAACGTATTACTCACGAATCGTTAAGACATAAGACTAATACGAGTTCAAAAAGCGAATGTCTTAGCCTTGATAAAATCGAATCGGCGATGTTGACAAGATTTATCAGACTGAGCTAACCACTGTTAAAAATATGTTTTTTTATATTATTATTAACAAAAAATATATTTGGTGTGAAATCTTTATATTCTTGGCTCTACCCGAACTCTCCTCGAACATCTTCAATAATATAATTCTATCAACGTACCAAAGGTTGCGCGTGAGCCCTTTAAGATAGTTTGATATTTGTTTGATTAAAGACATCAGGTGCAAGCAGGGCTGCTAGTAGAGCCAACTTATTTTATACCGCTGGGTCACTCAAATTATACCAAATTAAATTTTATTATACAAATTAACTTAAAATGAAACATACATAAAATAACCAAATTTGACAATGTTCGTATACAAATATACGATCTGGCAGCCCCGGTTACAAGGATTACTGCCCCCCTCCCCCCTCCCTCAGCAAGCACGTAAAAAATCTCTCGCCTGTCGTGGTCCTACCAGACTTTCATAATAAAAGGAATAAAGTGCCCTATATTAGGTCTTGCTCAAATGCTTTGCTATATTTGCTGGGTTATTGTATTTATACGTGGCTGCTTGAAGGCCAGGGTTGCATATAGAAATCGATTTCGCCAAATCTCGAGGCTCGAGTTTGGGTCGTCTCTAATGTGTGACCATTTAACACATAGAGTGCTAATTAATATGATATTTGAGTAATATGTATTTACTACTTCAATTGTGATTTATAACTTATATTATACATACAACTTAGTATAATACACAATATTTTATCTTATTTACGTTGATTTTAATGTAACCGTAGCGTCAATTTTAATATAATATGGCTGATATTTATAAATTTTTTAATACATTTTAATTAAGTGTAATATATTTGTATGATACTCAATAATTGAACAATAGAATCAATTTTTCTTTATATGTTGTGTTGTCTAACTACAGTACGAGTTCTACAAGGAAATGTCAAAAGCTGAGTTGTAAAATACTTAACGTATAGGCTTCGGATAATATATGTATAATATCAAACACTATACAGTACCGATATAATAGGTAAGCATTATTTACATTTGCATACAAATCCGTCGACATATTATCGACATGTACAAGGAACTGTAGCAATTTTGAAGTCGAGATAAAATAAATAAGTATAAAGGAAATTCATTTTTTAAATTATTTTGTGTAAGTGCGTGGTGCGTATGTTTTTACAGGTTTCGATATTTTGTATCACTAAATAACAAAGTCATTTTCCATCGGAAGAAGAATATATTTTGTATGAATTGTCTATGCCACTCTCTGGTCCATTAAATGTGTCTGTTGCTATTTGAAAAAAGGACGTTAATTTATCATCAAATTAATTTTCCACTATGTACATACTTTTGTTACAAGACATATTTGTTTTGTATATTATATTGAGAAAATGTCTACGTAAATAATTATTTGATTATAAAATTAAACTTATAATAAATATTAAATATGTATAACTTGTGATAATACGAAACTACGTATGTACGTATTAAATATGCTACTGCAGACGAATGCGGAAAAGCAAAAAAAAAATTACACTATGACACTACTATTATAATTAACTAGCAGAACCCCCGGCTTCGCTCGCGCTAAAACTAGAAAAAAAACTCTTTGGTTTTATGTTATTTAGTAGATAATAATGTATGGAAGTCTGCCCCATTGGTTGACATTTATGATTACTGCTCCGTTCCCTTTGGTAGCATGATGATATATATAGCCTATAGC